GCTGTTGGGGAGAAGAATGGGAGTACGATAGAGAGAAGTTCCTGCTTTGGGAAACTTCCAGGCAGAGGAATCTGACCGAGGGAGGCCCTGGGGCCATGCCCTTAGCCCATAGGCAACACGCCTCCTCTTCAGACCAGGAGCCTGCAGCTGAGACTGGCCGAGGAAAGGCAGTGGGGACATACTAGGCTGAGGCTCAGGTGGCCAGTAGTCTGCAATGTTGGGAGAAAAAGGACTCTGTGAGCACACAGGGTAGAGTAGGCGCTCTGGGCCATCCCCTGAGGTCCAGCCACTGAGGGCTCTGTGAACACTGGCAAAGGAAGAGAAAGGGACCTGGAGAAGGCACGAGGGACTCCCCCTGCAGTGAACGGCTTTGGTTTCCAAGCTGGCACCCTGGGTATAAACCATGATCTTCTTTCTGCCAGTCCCCCCGGCAGGCCTGCGGTGCTCCCTCTGCTACCTGCTCCTTTGTTGGCCTAGAGTCAGCTCCATCATTGCTCCCCTGGTCTCCCCAGTCCTTCCATCCTCTGCTCTATGGCCTCAATTTCTTTCTAAAGCACAAACCAAACCTTGCTCCTTTCTAGCTTGAGTCTTTAGTGGCTCCCTATTGCCCTTGGGACGTGCAGTGCAGACGACTTAGTCTAGTCAGGCACATATCAAGTCGGAACTGGGTGTGCTTCCCAGACACTCGAGGCCCCTTCCCCTGCATTTCTGCTCACCTCCTCTCACTGCCTGGAATGGCTTTTCCCTTCCACTGCTCCACCACCACGTTTGGCCTGATGATCACCAGCATATGCTGACTTCTTTCCCTTCAACCAAGAAACACACTGAGGTAGTCATAGACATGAGAGTACCCCAGAAAGAAAGAACTGCAGGCAGGCTGAGTTCTCAGTCTGGTCCCCTTAGTGGAGCATGAGGACCTGCAGCCAGACCACCCTGTGACAGTGATGGGGCCCAGAAGCAAGGATGTACAGTTCCATGGAGAGGCATGAGAGCCCTGAGGATCACAGAGACAGAGATGGCCAGAAGACCTCAGTGAGGCTCAGCAAAGATCACCCTGATCCTGGTGGGGTCCCTTCTGCTTCCAAGCCCCTGCTATTCTTCCTCTGCTCCACAAAGTCTCCAGAGAGTGAAATCCTGGGACCAGGGCTGTCTTAGTTCATCTCTGTCCCCAACGCAAGGCCCACACAGAGTGCACTGGATCGTCACACGCCCAGGGGAGAACAGAATCATTGCCTGGTGAGGGGCGGGGCCCTCCTCTCCTGGGCACTCAGTTTTGGCTGGCAGGTCCTCTTTGTGTCTGCCTGTGGAAGCTGGGAAGGGGCGGGACCCGGTGCGACCTCTGCCTCATTTATCTTGTTACCTTGCCTCTCCATGGTGACTGGATTGGGGAGGGTTACTCAACCAAGTGCTTGGCTTTGCTTCCACCATTGTGTCCTGTGTTGTCCCCACCTCCTGGTTCTTGCAGTCCCCAGCTCTGGGCCCAGCTGGCAGTAGTGAGAGGAGGCCTCAGCCACCAGCAGCTCATGGAGCACCTCCCGGTTGCCCCAGCTGAGAAAAGACAGGCTTCAGGCCAGACCCTGGCAGGTCCTCCTCGCCCCCTGCATGGGGCCCTGCACTCTTGATTTTCTCTGTACTTAGAGGTTCCCATGTGCTTGGCTTCTACTTCTCAGACAGCTCCCCAATTTGTGAAGCAGGAGGGGCTCCCTTCATGTAAGCTGTCCCAGGAGGCATGGTGCTGGCTGTTTGCCCACGCTGCAGGTGAGGACTGTGCTCAGTCTGGAGGGAATGAGTTAAAACCTAGACTTCAGGGGAACGTGGTTAGGAGTGAAAGTGGAGATAAACACTAGATTCTCTGCTCATGTATTTTAAAAGAAGAGAGAGGGGGCCTGGCGAGGTGGCTCACGCCTGTAATCCCAGCATTCTGGGAGGCCGAGGCGGGTGGATTGCTTATGCTCAGGAGTTTGAGACCAACCTGAACAAGAGTAAGAACTTGTCTCTACTAAAAATAGAAAAATTAGCCAAGTGCGGCAGCAGGCACCTGTAGTCCCAGCTACTTGGAAGGCTGAGGCAAGAGGATCCCTTGAACCTGGGAGTTTGAGGTTGCTGTGAGCTATGACACCATATCATTGTACCCATGTGGAGTGAGACATCTCAAAAGAAAAAAAAATTAAAAAAGGCAGAGAGAAAGGCGTAAAAAGAGAGAACACCCAAGAAAAACATTGGCCAAGAATGCAACTTAGACTTAAGAACTCTCTGCTACTAAGCCAAGTCTGAAGATAACAGGAAGTGATGAAATGTATCAGTTTGGAGAATAAAGAGTGATGAATGAGTGAAACTAGGAAGAAGTGATACTAACTAGTCTTGGTTTAATTCTGGCAGTTTTTTCACAAAGCAGGTGGAAAGGTGTCTCTGTCCTGGACTTGCTTACATGGGGCTGGTGTGTCCCTGGCTTTGGCCAAGACCCTGGCAGAGCCTCCTTGCTCATCGAATGGGGGCCCTGTACTCTTGACCTTGTCTGTACCTGGAGGTCTCCTCTTGCTTGGCTCTCTCCTACATCCTCTGCCACCTCCTGCTGCTACCTGACGGCTCCCAGTTCATGCTTCCCACCACGGATGGAGCATGTGTCATGTGGTCACTTATGGCTTTCTGTTCTAGGTGCCTGGGGACACAGCTTCTGCCTTATTCCCAGGCCCTGCTGCCTGGGTTTGGAGTGATCTTTGCTCAGCCTCACTGGAGGCTTCTTACCATCTTAGTCTCTGGGACCCTGGTTCTCATGCCTCTTGACTGGACTCTGGGTCCTGGCTCCTGGACTCCACCCCTGGTTTGGTTGAAGGCCCTCCCCCTTCACTAGCAGTGATGGTGAACACACAGGCATATGTCACATACTGACAGGTGCCACGGGAGATGTATATAGCAGAAAGCGCAGTGGGCAGTGTGTGGTGTAGTTTGATGTTAGAAAAGGCCAATGGCAGAAGTAGAAGCTGGGGGTTAATGGCCTGACATGCACCCTGCCTGGTGCAGTTCCAAGAGAGTCCTGCCATCAGGCGTGGGAACCCGGATGGTGCCAGCCGGATGAGGACTATTAAAAAGCCATCTTTTCTCATGTACCCACATGTCATAAATACCTTTCCAAACCAGTTCACTTTTTATCCTGGCCTAACAGTTCCTTTTCCTCTGAACACAAGCATTTCACATAACCCAGAAGGCATGGCTTTTTTATTCATTCAAAAACCATGTGTTGAGCACCTAGTCTGTTCCCAGCATTGCTCTTAGGTACTGGAGATAAAGACTAGATGCAAAGATGGAGTCCCTGCCTTCGTGTTGTTATATTCTAGAGGGACGACAGACAATAAGGTGAGAAAATACATGAATAGATACAGAGCGTCAAGTAGTGATGTTAGGAAGAAAAATAAAGCAGTAAGCACTGGGAGGAGTGTGCTGTTTGATGAGGTGGCCGAGGAAGGCCTCTCTAAGGAGAGGTCATCTCTGTGACACGAGGAGGGGACCCCATGAGGTGGCCCGTGGGTGGGACAGTAGATGGAGCAGAACCAGATCATATGGGATTTGCAGGCCACCGTGAGTTCTTTGCACTTCATTCCCAGCATGAAGGGAAGCCTGCAAGGTGGAGGCAAGGGGAGGTGCAAGATGAACCAGGAGGCTCGTAGGCTCACATCTTGGGAGATAGGGGGTTCAACCAAGCTGGTGGTGCTGGAGGATGCAGAGAGTGGTCACACTTGGGCTATGTCTTCAGAGGGCTCAACCTGGTGGCCTCTGTGATGGGTCCCAGAATGAGAGAGGGCACAGGTCAGGCTGTTCAGAATATAGCACAGGGCTGTCCTTGTGCTGTCTGTGCTTCTCAAATGTCCCATGAAGCACACAGTGTGGTCCAGCACTGACAGTCACTGCGTGGACATCTGCAGGGCTTCCACGACCCACTGCGTGTCTTCACATCTTATAGCTGGTTAGGAAACTGTGGCCAGAAGATGCTAGAAAGTGTAATCTGTCTAGCATGTGGTCGATTATATTTGGGTTTCTAACATACAAGAAGCTGGTACATTGTTCTTGACTTCTATAGGCACGAAGATTAGGACAGTAGATCTTCCCTGTCCGAGGTTTTGATATTTTGAGGTTTCAGTTACCCACAGTCAACAAAAATCCAAAAATTTTAAATAGAAAATTTCAACAATAAACAATTCATCCCTTTGTGCCCTGTTCTGAGTATCCTGAGGAAATCTCATGCCGTCACACTCGACCTGGCCCCAAATGTGAATCATCCCTTGGCCCGAATCCACACTGAGCATTCTCCCTGCCCAAGGGTCACTTACTAGCCATCCTGGGAGCCAGGTCGACTGTCAGCGCAGGGCTGTGCTCAAGCCACTTTTACTTTACCTGATGGCCCCAGAGCACAAGAGTAGTGATTCAGACAGGCCAAAGAGAAGGGCTTCCTTTAAGGAAAAAGGTGAAAGTTTCAACTTAGTAAGGCAAAGAAAGCCAAGGAGGGTATGTTCTCCCTTCCACATGGACTCAAAAACAATTGGACCCCAAGAAGCAGAGAGTGGAGTGGTGGCTACAATGGCCAGGCGCTGAGGGGAATGACAGTGACAGTCACAGGGTACAAAACCTCCAATGGACAGGAAAAATATATTTCTGTCTCTGAGATATATTGCACGATGTGCTGAATAGATTAAATACTGATATATTAAACATCTCAAAATGACTAAGTAAATTTCAAATGTTTTCATCACAAAAAGTAGAGGTGATGGATATGTCCATTGTCTTCATTTAATTATCCACATTGAATTTGTGTATCACAACATCGCTTTGTACCTCATAAATATATACAACTACATAATTGTATTTGTCAATTTACAACTAAAAAAACACAAATGCCTATGTGCCCTGTAATCCTCTGCTGGCTCTTGAAGGAGTCAAGTGTTACCAGGGACTGTGCAGGTCAGCACAGGATGATTAAATACAATGATATGACACACACTCTTATGTATGGTTTTATTGGAGAAAAAAAACAGAATCAATGAAAAAAAACCAGAATCAATGCATTTTGCAAATGTGGAGGCTATACCAAGTTGTAGATGCTTTCTCTAGACTTTCCTATGCCATGTTCCCTACAGGGGACAGCCAAGAGAGATTTTGGGTAAGTAGTAACAGAGATCAGAGGCTATCTGCAATCTCTTTAGAAATTTCTGAGAGAACAGGCACATTGCCAGGGCTTCTTAAGCACTGTGCAGCAGTGTCTGGGAGACGGAGCGATTACAACATTCTGTCTAGCTCTGGACCTTCATCCACTGGGGCTCTACACAACCCCATGGCCATATGAAGCGCTAAAGAGCTACAGGTGACTGCGTCTGGTACCCGCGGCCATGCCTGGTTACAGGGCAACTCCCAAAACTCTCAGAACCATGCTTCTGCCTCTCAAAGCCACTGGACATGTGGAGGCTAATTTAATTCAGGAGATCTCAGGAGGGAAATGTGTGTTTCACTGAAGGTACTAGAAAGTGAGCCAGGTGGCTGGAGAGCCCTGCACACCCTTCTCTCTGACTTCCCTTTTCACACAGGCTGGAGAAAGCCGTGCAGCGGGGAGCTGAGGACCCACAGTGGTGACCCAAGAGGTTCAGTTATGGGCTTGCAGACGGAAAGATTTCTGGTATTAAACCTGGAGCTACCCTTCCGGAAAGGACTGCCTCACATAGGACCTGCAGTTTACAGTGGATTAGAAAGATGCCTTCAGTTCCCTGGTTTAAAGTGCTGATACTGGGGACAGGGAGGCAGGGGCTGGCAGTCCAGTCTGAGACGGCCCCTCCTAGACAACCGTTTGAAATCTCCCTCCCAGTGGCAGTCTACCCTATGTATTAATAGTTTATCACCCGGCTGTGGAGTAGAGGAAGCCCAAAGTGGGGCAGGGGGGACCCTGGCTCACTCACAGGCCAGGGGGTGCTGGGGTCAAAGTGTGCATTTCCTGGGACCAGGCCCAGCAGGGACTTGCGCACATAGGCTACAGACAGCAGGTTATCAAGTGCTCTCCTTAGGGGCCACCTGCTGCCACTCTGGTGGCAGGTGGAAAGTGGGGGGTGCAGGGGAAGGAGCCAGGAAAAGGGCACAGGTACATCCAGAGAGGATGAGAAAAAGGGAGTGGGACGGGTTTGGAGGAAGGGGAGTATAAAGACCCTCAAAGGGAAAAATAGTCTTTCTTTATAGTCATTAATTGGGCCAACCCATTTTGTATTTGGAGGGCATACTGTATATCATTTAAAATAATTGTCCAGTGATCACTGAGCACCAAATTATTTTACCATCTTGTACTAAACCCACCAAGTCCTTCTCGAGCTCTTCACAGAAGACCTGTGCGGCCTGCACGCCCGTGCCTCAGCTGGCGGCTGCGCCGTCCGTCCCACACCCTCGCTTGCAGGTCAGCATGAGCAGCAGCAGCAGCGGCAGGTGCCACAGGCTGCAGAAGAACAGTTTCCTCGAGCTGCTGCGGTCTGCGTCCACGTAGAAGCGGAAGCCGAGGTAGGAGATGTACAGGTTGATGGGGAGGGAGATGACAGGGAAGGTCCACGTGGTGACGTCCAGCACCGGCGCGGCGGCAGACAGCGCGACCAAGGCCAGGCAGTGGCGCAGCGCCACGCGCCGGCACAGTGCTGGGTGGGTGACCGACATCATGCAGTAGCCGCCCCGGGAGTAGTCCTCCCGCAGGCCCCAGCTCAGGGCGTTGAAATGCGGAAACTGCCAGGAGTAGAGGATTCCTCCCAGAAGAAAGGCTCCTGTGTGGGGTGGGGATGGGGGCAGAAGAAGAGAGGGAAACAGGTTGTCAACCAATTTCCAAAGGAGTGGCTCCTTCTCATCCCAGCTTGCCGGCCTCCGCCTGCAGGCTCGTCGCCTGGCCTTATCCAGAGCACCCCTGCCTGCCTGGGGATCTTGGCTGTGGGCATCTCCAGGCATCTGCAGCTCAGCCCACCCCAGGCTCAGGCCTCCCAGCCTACCTGGGGGAACACTGAGGGAATTCTGGATGGCATTAGGCACCGCCCCGGGGTGGAGCCCCTGTGCTAGAGCTTTTAGCCCCATTTCTATCAGCTGGGCCTTGAGCCTGAGATCCTTCCGCCAGGTTAAGACAGTGCTGCAATTGGAGGACATCTCCAAGTCCAAGGGCCTCTTTGTGAGCCCCTGGTCCCTTCCCCGGGATAGCAGCAGCTCCCAGCTCAGCACTGACATGGAGCTGGGCGCACCTGCAGGCCAGTGCTGAACACGCTGGATTCACCTGCTCCCCAGTCCCAGCAGCTCACGGCTGGCTCCTGAGCAGGTGCCTGGCATACTCCTCTCAGCCCCCAAGCATGGCACGATGGCCTGGTCGAGCCAACCACGTGCATGCTTAGGCATCAAGGAACATGGGATTAGGCTAGGATGATAACTTGTCAATAGATTTGTAATTTTTCAACAAGGACACAATTCTCTGAGCATCAGTCAGCCCCTTTCTCCAGAACAATTTCCGCACCACCCACAAGTGTGGGGTGGGCTGCCATCTACTGAGCTTCTATTGTGTGACAGATACTCCCATACAGTTTGCCCCGTTTAATGCTGATGATAAGATTCTGAGGTGGGTTTTATAATCATTAAAAAAAGATCAGATGATGGCAAGTCCTCCTCCAAAAAAAAGGTGGAGAGGAATTCAAAATGAGCCTGATTGTCCAGCCAGGCTGTTTGTGTGGCACTCATGGAGGCCCCTCCCTGGGGTCAGGCAGCAGAGTGGGGGCTGTGACTGGGCTACACTGTCCCTGTGCAGGCCACTCATTACTCTTGCAAAGACCTGGGGACTGAGCACCTACTCGGTGGCAAGCACCATGCCGGGCATGGGGGACACGGTGCTGAGCAGAACTCTGCACATATCTCTGCTAGCACGGAGTTTATGGTCCAGTTGAGGAGGCAGGGTCATCACTCAGACCTGCACTAGTGATTTGAAAACCACCATTCACATTATGAAGGAAAAGTAGGTGTCACAGTAAGGACACAACAGGAGGAGGTGACCTGGTCTCAGGGAGCGTCAGCTTCTCTGTATCATGATAAAATTCAAAAGGTAGCCTGGCTGAGAACAGGACCAAAGGATAGGCTGGAGAAGAGGGGAGGGGCCACCGTCGGCCTGACTTTGCTATTCTAAAAGCAACTGAAAGCCAGAGAATCTTCACATGTGAGAGAGAGTGAGTGAGTGAGCATGTGTAAGTGCACCTACGGGTGCAGGGCACGGGGAGGGCCGCCAGCAGTGAGTGAAGAACACAGCAGGTGTGGTTCAGTCAGGCAGTGAGAAGCAAGATGACAGCAGTCAGCATCAGGGTGGCGACAGTGGGATGGAGAGGGATTTAGGTGGGGAAGGGGAGAGGACGCGAGTTCAGGGCAAGGAGAGGGAAGGTGAGGGATTGAGAGCAGCTCCCAGTTCATAGGTCCAGGACCAGTTCACTGACACAGCAGGACGATAGGGAGGGGAGGTAAGTGTGACCCTGGGCATGTTCCGTCTAAGACGCCTTTGAGATATGCAGGGAGAGTGGAGGACAGGGCCCTGGCCCAGAGTGAGTGTGGGCCGGGCTCCGTCACTGAGTAGCCCCAGCATTCAGGTAACCACTGCCCATGTGTCTGTGTTTCCTACTCGAATGTGAACCCCACGAGACTGGAAAATGTAAAGAGGCAGTGAAGGGTACTCAAACCCTCGACGGGGCAGTGTACAAAAAGAACTGATTCTCAAGTGGTCCCCAAGGTCACTGTTTGCCAGCACAGCTTGTGAGCTAGTGAGGCAAACTGTCAGACTCTCAGGACACTGCCTACTCTCACCTTCCCCTCCTCTGGACCCATCTTGGATGCACTGAACCTGACTGCTTCTGTCCTGGGGTCCCTGGCAGAGAACTGGGAGTTTACAATGCCACTGCCTCATCTACTCTGTAAAGGGCCATCCTGCACGGGGGCAGGGAGAAGAGGTGGAGAATTTGTAGCCACAGTCCTATTTCAGGGGATCTTTTAAGTCTCCGGTCTGTGGGAATGTTCAGACAAAGAGCAAGTGGGAGCTACTGCTAAGGTACACTCACCAGGAGAAAAAGTGGTTACATTATGCAGCAAACTTCGGGAAACAAGTCTGGGGCTCTGAGGCTCCAGGGGCCCTATGTGAGCTCATGCCAGTAAGAGTGAGGAGTGAGCTCCTCTCCTAATCTCTGTATTCCTCAACAGCAGAGAAGCAGGGGGTAGGCTGCCAAGTCCTCTAAAAGAGAGAAAGGGGGGCTTCAGTTGCAGTGTTCTGAATGACCCTTCTAGGGCAGGGCAGTTGCTGTGCCTCAAGTGGAACTTGTGTGGCTGCAGGAGACTGAAGGAGGAAGAGGGCCTAATCTCACTGGCTCGCTGGCTCCTGTAGGGCCGTCTGCTCTTTCTGGGTCTTCAGTATGGGACCTGATTTTAGGGCCCCTAGTGTCAAAATTCCCAAGATTCAGCTTTAGTCTTATCTATAAATAATATGTCTTTGTATCTACCTATCTTGGTTCATGTAAACACCCTTAAATGTCAATGCTAATAACAGTAATGGCTATGATTTGTTGAATCTGTTCACTTGGTAAATAGGTGACGGGCGGATGTCTCACATGCCAGGCATAATTCTGGGTGCGGGAAAGGCAGCAGCAATCAAGACAAGTCCTGGTCAAGTCTGTAGGGGGAGATGGACAGACACATGTAGAAACTCAAAACAGACCCATGCGATACGGGTGGCCTGAGATTGAGAGCTCAGGCAAGGACTTTTGTGTAGGTGACATTTAAGCCATGACCTACTAACTGCAAGCAGAACTTTGTCAGATCCTGGGAATAGCCCCAGTAGGTTTCTGGCGCAGTGGAGAGAGGGAAGGAGTTGCAGGGTGGGCTGGTAAGGCACCGAGGAACCAGGATAAGGACTGGGGTCTTCCTCCAGCACAGGGGAGAGCAGGCTGGGGGGAGGGGGAGGGACAGAGGAGGGGACAGACACTGATGCCTTTTCCTCAGGAGGGGAACATGAGGGTGGACACCAGTGTGTCCATGGTGCAGACACGAGGAGTCCCATTTTTGGCCATTTGAAGTTTGAGGTGCCTTTTAGACATCTCCGCTGAAATGCCTTGTGGCTGTCACTGGCCAGGCCAGGCACAGAGGAGTTGTACATGTGCTGTCCCATCCTCACAACAACCCTGCCCACAGGTACCATGACTGTCACCTTACAGATGAGAATGATGAGTGACTAGCAGACAGTATCAGAACCACTGGCAAAGTGCACCAGCATGCAGACGCAAGTCAACCACCTTCCCACATCAACGGATGGTCATCCAAATGCCAGTGGCGCTGAGCAGGGGGACTTGTTGAAAGAAGAAACTGCATATTCCAGACTTATAAAAAAAAAAAAAAGAGGTCTGTTTCAACGACAGACAGTACTTTCCTTGACAGTGAGTCCTCTTAGGGAATTAGAAAGGACAGAGGGGAGGTTGGAACACGCGGGTATGAGTGAGAAAGTTAATGGGGCAACAGAAGTAGACATCTCCTTTGTATTCTGGGGGAAAATGAAGTGATTTCAGGATTTTGAAGTGAGTGGTAAGAGGCAGCGCTGTTAGTGTCTCAGGCACAGGGCCACACTGAGGCTTTGAGCACAATCTGTGGGAAGCCCAGCCCCAACCCACAAATTGCCACAGATCTAAAGGGTTTGCAGTTACAATGACAGCCAGCCACAAATGCCGGGGAGGCCAGTAAGACCCAGAAGTGTCTTGTCAGAAAAGTCAACGTCAGTGCTAACTTAGGAACCAGGGAGAGGGTGAGATGGTCAGAGCTCCCTGGGGGCTTTGCTCTAGAGATGGCTGAGAGAGACCAACCTCCACTGGAAAACCACATTTAAAATGGCAAAACTATCAGGCCCAAACGTGGAATCTTTCTTGTTTTCCTCAAAAGCCCCCCCGCCTTTGTATGCCAACCAGAGTATATTTTGTTTTGTTCAATATACTTTTTCAGTTATGCTTTTGCTTACAATAACATAATGAAAAAAATCATTTTCATGAGAGTAGCACACTGCTTTCTGCGAGAGGAAATTGGGTGTGGGTTTGGCTCATGTCACAAATGAAAGAGCTTTAGAAATCACTGCCTGGCCTTAATGGATTGTAATCAAAAAACCACCACCCACACACAGTTCCACTCGATATGCTTCAACTGCCTCTCCTCCTATACAAGATGCAAAACAAATTACTCTCTTCATCAAGATAAGGTGAGCTAGAACAGGAAGCCTCGAATTACTCCTGGGGCTGTGGTGGAATTCACCTTCCTCCTGGGGTAAACATGAAGCCCCCCAGCTTACAGGCTGCCCCTGCGCTCAAGGGAAGCGTTCCCTTTATTGCCCCAGCCTCGCTACCCGCCGTGGTCTGGTCCCACTGGGCCTACCATCTGTGACGACAAACCCGACTGCATGCCACCCACACACAGGCACCGTCGCTGTCCTCAAGGTCTCCCACTGGCGTCTGGCCAGGGACACAGACAACAAACGGGATGGCAGCCCATGGTGATGTCACCCCAGGTGCAGGGCTTGTGAGCCAGACACAGGAGGGACACCTTAATTCAGCCCTGAAGAGCTCAGGGAAGGCTTCCTGGAAGAAGGGACGTGTACACCGAGATCTGAGGACGGTCTCTGAGCTTTCTGCTTCTAAGTGTGTCTTCCTAACCCCACAGAATCTTTGCACATTAGGTTAATCATATCCAGAATAAACCTTTCCTTCTCTTCTGTTAATCAAGTATT